CCTTCCTGGGTTGGCTTTGAACCGCGATCCTCAGATCTCAGCCTCCTGAGTAGCTAGGATTACAGGCGTGAGCCACCGGCGCCCAGCTCATATCTTTTTATTTACTATTACTTCATAAACATAAATATAGTCAATTCAAAATCTAACTGCTAAGGTGCTAACAACTCCATACAAATATTTTGAGAAGGAAAAAAAAAGCAAAGTGCCAGTGGCTCACTCATAGCTACTCAGGAGAGTGAAGTCTGAGGAGTGCAGTTTGAAGCTAGCCTAGGCAGGAAAATCCATAAAACATTTATCACCAATTATCACCAGAAGTGGAACTATGGCTCAAGTGGTAGAGTGCTAGTCTTGCATAAAAAGCTCAGGGATAGCACCCAGGCCCTGAGTTTAAATCCTACAACTAGCATTTAAAAAAAATAAGAACAAGGGCTGGGAAGTTGTCTCAGTGGTAGAGTGCTTGCCTTGCATGTATGAGGCCCTGGGTTCGATTCCTCAGCACCACATAAGCAGAAGAAAAAAAAAAGCCAGAAGTGGTGCTGTGGTTCAAGTGGTAGAGCACTAGCCTTGAGCTGAAGAGCTGAGGGACAGTGCCCAAACCCAGAGTTCAGTCTCCATGACCAGACCAAAAAAATAAATAAATAAATAAGAACAAGGGCTGGAAGGTGGCTCAGTGGTAGAGTGCTTTCCTTGCATGCATGAGGCCCTGGGTTTGATTCCTCCGCACCACATAAGGAGAAGAAGCCAAAAGTAGCACTGTGGCTCAAGTGGTACTGCGCTAGCCTTGAGCTGAAGAGCTGAGGGACAGTGCCCAGGCCCAGAGTTCAGGCCCCATGACCTTAAGAAGAAGAAATGTGGCTAGGAATGTGGTTCAGCAGTAGAATGCTTGCAAGCTTTGCATGCATGAAGCTGTCAGTTTGATTCCTCAGTACCACATAAACAGAAAAGGCCAGAAGTGGCACTGTGGCTCAAGTGGTAGAATGCTAGCATTAAGCACAAAGAAACTTGAGGACAATGTTCAGGCCTTGAGTTCAAGACTGGCAAAAATAAATAAAAATAAATAAATAAGAACAAGTTTAGCTCAGAGTAATTTAAGTAAAAGTTAAATACATTACATTTCATAAGTCTTTGCAGAATATGTTCTACATAGATAATGATACTTGTATCTACATACTAATACTTTTCTAACTTAATCGAATACTGAAACCAAAATCAATGGCCTAAATTTCTAAAATTCCATAATTTCATAGTTGGAACAAAAAGGCTACAGATTCTGATCTTTTTACAATATGCACACATAAGTGTTTTGCTTTTTCTTTGCTTTTGTAATACTGGAAATAAAACTCAGGTGAGCATGTTCGGCAAGCACTATTCATTTCACTGAGCTACAATACAAGCCCTCTTTTCTTTTTAATTCTAATCAGAGATCTCAAACTGCTTTTCTTAAATAAACAGTATACACATTAATACACTGCTGAAGTATATTACAAAAGAGACTCATAAAAATGCCACTAAAAAGGAAGTTACTTTTTCTATGTGTACCAAGTTACAAGATATAAATTTGGTTCAAGCTTTTAATAATATAAAATGCAAGTATCTTCAGAACAATTTTCTAACTTATGTAATATACAACATATCTCTATATTTTATATGGAAATTTTCATTTACAAAAAAAATTTTACCTGAAGAGTTTTTTCTAGTTTGCTTTTCTCCTTCATAAGTATATCATATTCTCGATTGCAATTTTGAATTATACTGTCTCTTTCCTCCAAATCATGTTCAAATTTTCTACATTCTTCTTTCCATTTCTGCTGTGAAGTATGAAATGCTTTCTCAATCTCATTTGCTTTTCCTTGAAGTTCTGAATTCTGATCTATTAAAGATAGAATAGAATAGGTATATTTCTAAACATGAGTTATATAACTACAAATTTAAAAACCTAAGCTTGTAGCTAATTTTACTGTCAAAACAACTCTTTTACTAAGCTCTTGAAAAGCTCACTGCCCCTGCCTAGACCAATTTCACTCACTCTTTTTCTCAGAATAAGATGCTTCTGCTACCAAATAGTATGGAATATTCTTCTTCTTTTTTTTTTGTTTTCCAGTCATGGGGCTTGAACTCTGGGCCTGAGCGCTGTCCCTCAGCTCTTCAGCTCAAGGCTAGTGCTCTACCACTTGAGCCACAGTGCCACTTCTGGTTTTCTGAGTGGTTTACTGGAGGTAAGAGTCTCACAGACTTTCCTGCCCAGGCTGGCAATCCTCAGCTCTCAGCCTCCTGAGTAGCTAGGATTACAGGCATGAGCCACTGGCACCCAGCTAAATATAGTATATTCTTAAAGACACGCTCAAGTTTAGGAGTGCCTCACTCTTTCTCCTATTCAAAAAAGTCGATGTTTTTTAAGACTATGATACACATAGCTACTTTTTTTGAAAGACTAAAAGAGAGTATACATTTTAGTAGAATACTAGAAACAAACTAGTTGTAACACACCTTACACAAGAGACCATCACAAAACTGAGGCTAGGAAGCACTGCTCTGACAGTTCAAATCAGCAGTTTACAAGAAGTGGCACTGTGGCTCAAGTAGTAGATTGCTAGCCTTGGAGATGACAAGCTGAGGGACAGCGCCC